GAGGGGAGGGCAACGAATATTGAGGCACATAGTCTCGCTAAGCATGATTTTGGTTTGGATTTCGGGCGCCATGTATGGCTGTTAAACCCTCCAAACATCTCTTGTATCCCTATGAACATTTTTGAGTAGTTAATAAAGTGTGTTTAGACTCAAAAAAAAACTTGGCGTCGTTTAATTCTCAAAAATAAAAAAGTTGGCTCAACCGTTTTTTTATTGCCTGGACAGTCAATGGAGCTAAGCTAACTGCCTAGGTCATCAGTTCTGGTTTTTACTAGTCCAACCGCAGGTCCGTGTCCTTCAAAAATCTATTGTCTAATGTAGAAGCATCTCTACCAGATTCCGTAAATGAGGTCGTCCGCTATAATAATCGGGTCATCCACTATAAAATCGTTGTTTTGCAGGGTCTTTCCTGTATCCCGACCCGAATAGATCCTCCGCCGCCCCTAACCTCGATGCTCCTTCACCGACGTGCCTTCTCCGGGCGCCGCATTACACCATGGAGTGCCCCCATCCATCCCAAGATCGTGTCGGCTGTTTGTTCTATTCTTGAGACCGCGCCCCTCATGCCATTGTCGTGCCTCACCGTGGTCGGGAAACTGCACACCGTCATGCCAGGGCAGCCGCGCCGTGGGCCACCATGTGTGTCGCTAAAGTCGTTCAGTAAGAAGGAGTGGACGGCGCACTTGGCGGCGTGTCCACTGGCTGCTTGACCTCAGGCATTGGTCCTAGTCGAGGCGGCCGGCGCGGTAGGCCACGAGCATCAACTAGTTGTGGCGGCCGACGCTGCAGGCCAGGGAGCCGCAAGTCCATCGCTTAACGTCCTTGGAACGAGAGTAGATTAATTTGACAGCCTCTCGGATTTGTCCTTTCAACATCATTTGCGGTCGGTTGTCAGTCATAGCTTTCCCCCACATGGCATAGATTCCATGGGCAGTCGTGTGGGATGACACGATCTTGGTCGAGGCGACCAATCAAGAGCAAGATCGGTCGGTCTAAATACAATAGTTTTATTTAAAGAACCATCAAGGTCGCAGGTTTCCTTCTCTAGTACAACTGCAAGTACGCTCGGTTTTTTAAACCGTGCGTGCAGCTAGTATCCCTCCCCTTATTCTGTATCGCCATGAAGGTGGAAGGAATGAGGAGGCTAGACTGGTCTGTCAGCCTCTCGGATATGTCGTTACAACACCGCCTGCGGTCGGTCATAGCTGACGCCTATCGTCGTCGCCAATTTCGTAGCACCACCCCATGCGCTCTCAACACTGGTCAAAAGTCGTCAGCCTCGCGGGTTACAACATGCTCTTGGGCTGATTGCAACCTATAGCATTGTCGTCCTTAGCTTTCCCCCACACCGGTCATAGCTTCCATGGGCAGTCGTGTGGGGATGACGTGATCTTGGTTGAGGCGACCGATCTGGAGTCATATCGGTCGATCAAGTTACAAAATGTTTTTCTTTAACCAACCATCGAGGTTGTAAGTTTCCTTTTTCTGATATGACTGCAAGTATGGTCGGTTTTTTGAACCGTGGTGTAGCTGGGATACCCTCCCCTTATGCTCTATCACCATGGATATGTCGTTACAACACCGTCGACGGGTGGTGGCAGCTGACGCATATCATCGGCACCACTTTGTAGCACCACCACTTGTGCTCTCAGCACCGATCAAAAGTCGTTAGCCTTTGGTCACAACATGTTCCTGGACGGGTCGCAACTTCTACCATTGATGTTAGTCATAGTTTTGTCCCACACCGGTCATAGCCTCCATTGGAAGGCGTGTGGGAATGATACAATCTTGGTCGAGACGACCGATCAGGAGCGGGATCTGCCAGCCGATCGCCGCTGTTAGAGCAAGAAACCATGTTATAGGTTATTTAGCACATGTTACGTAAATCAATTTTATAAAGCCATTACTATTTATATATATCTAATTTCCCTTTCAATCAATAAAATAATAAATACAATGTACTCTATTTTTCCATGCCAAAAACACTTTTTGGAAAATTTATATTCCAAACAAATTAATATATGTAACAATGTCCCGGTTCTTCCAAAACAATTTCCCTCCTGTTCTCCTTGATAAAAAAAAGAATATATCCAAATTTCCCTCCAGTTCTCGACCATGGCGCTTATTTTTCCCTCCAACTAAGCAAAAAACGCTAGATAAATTGGGTCTCAAACCCATCCACATCCAGCCCAGCCGCCCACCGTTCGGCGGCTACATCGCCGCACTCCAACGCAGCGGCCGCCACCTGCAACCCCCCACCCCCTTCCCACCCCCATCTCAACCCCCGTAGGATCTGCCGCTTCCTCGACCTGCATCAGCGCCGCTTCCTCGATCTGTCCCGGCGCCGTTTGGATCGTTGCGGCGACGGCTTCGTCGGTCTTCAGCTCCGCCACCTACATCCTGAAGGAGTACGATCTCGTGGCTGGTATGGATCTGAACGCCCACCCTTCCCTGATCTGACTGCTACGAATTCTCTGAAGTATGCTAGGTGAAACACCATTGTAGTGATGCAGGGGCGGGTACAGGGAGAGGCCAGCAGGGGTTCCCCTGCCAATCGCTCGCTCCCTCAACAATTCTAGCACAGTGTTTACTGTAGATGCCTAATGGCCGTGGCTAATTGCATAATTAGCCCATACGTAGACAAATAATTAAGCAATCACATATGTTGAAAAGCCCATTAAACCCAACTCTGCTCTTCGATTTGATGCAACCGATCTACTGTAACAGTTTCGCCTGCGTAAATTGAACCAACAACAACAACAACAAAGCCTTTAGTCCCAAACAAGTTGGGGTAGGCTAGAGGTGAAACCCATAAGATCTTGCAACCAACTCATGGCTCTGGCACATGGATAGCAAGCTTCCACGCACCCCTGTCCATAGCTAGCTCTTTGTCGATACTCCAAACCTTCAGGTCTCTCTTAACGGACTCCTCCCATGTCAAAATCGGTCGACCCCGCCCTCTCTTGACATTCTCCGCACGCTTTAGCCGTCCGCTATGCATTGGAGCTTCTGGAGGCCTGCGCTGAATATGCCCAAACCATCTCAAACGATGTTGGACAAGCTTCTCCTCAATTGGTGCTACCCCAACTCTATCTCGTATATCATCATTCCGGACTCGATCCTTCCTCGTGTGGCCACACATCCATCTCAACATACGCATCTCCGCCACACCTAACTGTTGAACATGTCGCCTTTTAGTCGGCCAACACTCCGCGCCATACAACATTACGGGTCGAACCGCCGTCCTGTAGAACTTGCCTTTTAGCTTTTGTGGCACTCTCTTGTCACAGAGAATGCCAGAAGCTTGGCGCCACTTCATCCATCCGGCTTTGATTTGATGGTTCACATCTTCATCAATACCCCCATCCTCCTGCAACATTGACCCCAAATACCGAAAGGTGTCCTTCCGAGGTACCACCTGGCCATCAAGGCTAACCTCCTCCCCCTCACAGCTAGTAGTACTGAAACCGCACATCATGTACTCGGTTTTAGTTCTACTAAGCCTAAACCCTTTCGATTCCAAGGTTTGTCTCCATAAGTCTAACTTCCTATTTACCCCCGTCCGACTATCGTCAACTAGCACCACATCATCCGCAAAGAGCATACACCATGGGATATCTCCTTGTATACCCCTTGTGACCTCATTCATCACCAATGCAAAAAGATAAGGGCTCAAAGCTGACCCCTGATGCAGTCCTATCTTAATCGGGAAGTCATCGGTGTCGACATCACTTGTTCGAACACTTGTCACAACATTATTGTACATGTCCTTGATGAGGGTAATGTACTTCGCTGGGACTTTGTGTTTCTCCAAGGCCCACCACATGACATTCCGCGGTATCTTATCATAGGCCTTCTCCAAGTCAATGAACACCATATGCAAGTCCTTCTTATGCTCCCTATATCTCTCCATAAGTTGTCGTACCAAGAAAATGGCTTCCATGGTCGACCTCCCAGGCATGAAACCAAACTGATTTTTGGTCACGCTTGTCATTCTTCTTAAGCGGTGCTCAATGACTCTCTCCCATAGCTTCATTGTATGGCTCATCAGCTTAATTCCATGGTAATTAGTACAACTCTGAACATCCCCCTTGTTCTTGAAGATTGGTACTAATATACTCCGTCTCCATTCTTCTGGCATCTTGTTTGCCCGAAAAATGAGGTTGAAAAGCTTGGTTAGCCATACTATCGCCTGCGTAAATTGAACCATTAGGATAAAAAATGACTGAAATTACGAACAGAGAAAATGCTTTAAGATTTGCACCATCACCCGATGATCCTATGTACTTTCAATTTCCCTTCTGTTTAGGGAAGCAGTGAACATCATCAGGTCATGTACACTTTTCAACTTAAACCTGTCCTGAATCCATATGTCGACAACGTTATATCTTAGTGTGGGTGTGGCTGGACCCATGGTCTTGTACCTCATCTCTCTGTTTTAAGTTATGATAAGCTGATAGTGCATTGACGTGCTACTGTGTACTTCTCTGCCCTCTCCATTCACATGTCTATTGGCAAATTAAATTGTCCCTGTTATGTCATTAGTTAATTTGGCTTTACTTGTAATGATTTAATTGACATTTTATATATAACTTAGGATGGCGACGGACATGTTGACCATATACCTGCACTATGAAGATACAAATCAGGAAGCCAAAATTTTACAAAGATCCATGATGAGACGTGATGTCTCGTATTACGACTTAATCTTGATGATCGAAGAAGTTGGCTTTCAGGCAATTGACTTTCTGTACTATGCGAAAAAAACCCGTCTAGGCAGCTCCTACTTAGTTCACATTTATGATGAAGGTGTTGTGATGAAAATGTTGTCCGACCCTGAGATTATGAAAGCTGTCCATCTGTATGTGTCTAAGGAGAAGGCTGACGATCATATTGCTCCGCCTAGCAAGCAAATTGATGTTGCTCCATCTAACCATCCAAACGAGAGTGTCCTCTTATAGGACAGTGGTGTCTCTGCTAAAGGGGCAGGGCAACTTACTATGCAAGGGCCACAAAGTATCCCTCTTGAACCATGCTTATTACATATCTGTATCTACTATTGTAATTATTGGAATAAAAGATGTGTGGTTGTTCTGCAGGACCACCACGTAGGTCAAAAAGGTTGAATGTGATTCAGGTTACGGACCAACGTGATGATGAAGATGGAGACTGCAACAATGGTGAGCAATTCCCACAAGGTCATGAATCACAAGTATTGGTCGATGAAGAGGGTCAAGTTCACAATCAAGGTAACAAACCTATTACATTTTGTGCTTCTATTAATTAACTTGTATATGCTTAGTATCGAAAGAATAATCGGCGGGCGTCATTTCATTAGTACTTTTCTTAATTAATCTTGTAGTAGACAAGGAAGTACGCAAGCGCAAGAGAACAAGCTTGCCAGTTGTCTGGAACATGCCAAAGGGGCAGAGAATAGTTGTGAAATGCAATGAAGATAGCCAGCCTATAGGAGATGAAGGTGCAATCTTGGGGAAGTTTCTGGGCACGGTTGCTAGAAATGGAGGATTTTGCCCACTAAACATAAATGATTGGCGTCATGTCAAAAAGAATAGTGGTGAGGAAACATTATTGCAGTGCGTACAGGTACTTCACAATTAACAAGAAAACAAAATATGTTATTTGCTGCCCTTCTATTTATATCTAATTTGTCTACATGAGATGTAGTGTGGTCTGCATGTCTATTTACATCCATTCATTATTTTGTACTTTCAGAAAAAGTTCGTGTATCCTCGATCATGTGAAAAATGGATACTCAAATCAATTGGAAGAGACTGGAGGAAATTTAAGTCTAGTTTGAAAGATGCTTTCTTCAAACCCGCCATTGAAAAAAATCCAAACATCAAGCGAAAGGCTTTGTATAAGCTCTGTCCAGAAGATGTGGACAACGATCAATGGCGTGGGCTTGTTAAATATTGGAAGTCCAAAAAAGGAAGGGTAATGAATGAGATACTGTACTTTCCTGTTTTGACATTTAAATGTCAGTTCTCGGGCTTATCTTAAAAGTTGCATTTACGATATGATTACATCATAACAGGCCCTTGCTGAGAAGAACATAATTAGTCATTCCCTCGTGAAGGATTCACATAATGCTGGCACAAAGAGTTATGCTTGTTGGGGCGAAGACATGGTGAGTAATCTTGATTCCTGAAGTGTTGTCCTGTGTCTCTTTTGTCATATGGGTGTTGTTTCTGTTTTGTACAGGCAAGCTGATCCTGAAAAGAAACGACCACACAGATCAAAGGTTTATTTAGTAACTCACAAGAAGAAGGACGATGTTGATGCTAAAAATAAAGATAAAAATAAGCGCCTGGTAGGCAATTCATATAGAAATTGTCTAATTGTTCTCGGGATCAAGTTATGGTTCAGTCTAACTAGTGTATGCATGATTCTTTTCTTATAGGATCGATTGGACAATCTAATAACCGATCGACCAGAGTTGGCACAAAATTTGAATGGAAGAGTCGCATGGGAAGGTGATGCCCTGCAGGAAGTGTTAGGGAAAGAAAAGATTGGACAAGTGCATGGCATGGGTTTGCTTCCAACTCCTAAGCAAGTCTACGGTCGGACGCCACGGTATCTAAAGAACATCAATATGACTACAACTGATGGATCACCATATGAAGTTGAACATGACGTTTGGGAGGTAATAGCAAAGATGAAGGAGCACATAAAAAAGCAAGACCAGATTATTAAAGATATGAATAACAAAGAAGGCTATGTCAATAATGGCATAGAAGAGGTAAAGGACTTCTTTATCCCACCCTTTGCATGCATTTCTATCAATAGTATACTCAGATTTGTTAGTTCTGTAGGAAAACCTCCAATCAAATGATAATGGTATTTCTCAGTCACCAGTACTGCTTGGTAAAACAAAGGTAATGTTAATAAATGCCTACATCATTGCTTGTCAATCGAAACCTTCATATTAATATTTCAGTTTGCAGAGAATCCAGTGCAATGGACCCGTTGAGGCACTCTCGTCTATGCAACATGACATTCCTGAGGATAATAATTTATCACGTTCACATGAGAAGGTTATGCCTGTAGTTACTCTTACTCATGTCACAAAGATAGAATATAAAATAATTGCTTGCTTACCATTGTTGTGTCATGGAACTAGGTTGGTGACCATGATGTCAACCAATTACAAGTTCAACAAAATTCATCGTCACCACAAGACCTTGTTATTGATTTTGTGCTAGAGGTAATTTTCGTGCCTTTTGAGTTCTGAAGTTGTAGCTTTCTGTAGCTTCAAGGTATGAGGGAAACGAGGAATATTACGGGTGAATCTGTTTCAAGACCGAACCAGCAAAGGACTAGAACTGAACACCCACACTGCTCAAAAAGAAGGCGTTCTTCTTCCATCAAGGTAAAGATTCACCAAGTGGCATGGTTTAGTGCACCAAAATTACCAACCCAAACCCTCATTATCATGTCTGCTTGAAAAATGGGTTTTATTACAATTTTTGCTCAATCTGCTGTATGCAAGTAAACGATAAATTTAACCAAGCATGAGCTAGCGAGGTGACCTTGGGCATTAGACTTCGTTGCCGGGTCTAGTTTATTTAGTTTCTTAGGGCACCTTAGTGGGTTGACACTAAAAAGATCTCATATTATTCATGCAAATTATATTATCATGTCATAGAATGCTAATATTGATCATAATATAGGCTGCTTCCAAAGTAGTCTTAAAGACTTCAACATATCCCAACAAGCGGAATGTTGCGTATGGTACTATTCGGAGTACTGATCCAAGAACTAAGGCTAGTGGTATTGAGTTAGGTGCTGAATTTGCTCTTGTGCGCATAGACGAACCTATTCTTGATAATGAGGAGTTGGTAAGGGAAGTTTCTGATTGCAAGACAATTGGCGAGGCTTTCACTTCAGGATACTTAATTGCCTGGCCTTCAGCTTTTGTAAGTTACAATCTTCCCTTCCACATTCTGAAATCATATTTGTGTACATTTAATCACACATATCCAAGGTGCAATTTTCTTCTACAGATTCGAGAGAAGGATGGTTGATTTGCAGTTGAATTCTTGGATCAAGAAGCAAATAAAATCTGAAGATTTTAGCTAACAATAGTTGTAGTTTACATTGATAGATTTAAAAGTGTAATATCATCTAGAAGATCTTTTTCTTTCATCGAATTGATGCAAATGCGATAGTGTAATATTCCCCATAGTTGTGTTTTCTATCCTCAAAACTATATGGCTGATATCTTTATTGTAATGCATATGTATCATACACTCTTCTATATTCGTAATAAATATCTTCGTACGAATTTCTGTATGTGTTCTACTTCAGTTTAAATATCATTTTGATATGCTGCCAAGCATAATAATAAAATGATTAACAATTTATGCAATTGCATTTATTTTATTAAATAAATTTATATTCCATAAAATGGGTATCCAGTTTTGTGGTTACTAATAAAAAACTAATACATTAATTATGTTATCATATTGATATAGTAGTGTTACTGATGGTGTTACTATAGCTACAAAATTTGTTACTAGAGTAGTTGACAACTATAATTATAGTGTTACGATACATGGATATTATGTTACTAGTTGGGTTTCAGTGCTAAAAGAATGTGTTACCAGTTGTGTTACGATAGTTACATAAACATGTTACTACCGATGTTCTATGTCTATCAAAATATGTTAATACCGGTGTTACTATAATTACAAAAGTGTGTTACCGGTGTGTTCGGTAACACATAACACACATGTTACTATAATGCAACTATAACACATTTTTTAACATATGGTAACAATTATTATGTGTGACAGTTGACACCACTTAGTAACATGGTCTAATGGAACACATTTCAAACTGTGTTACTATATGGCCTAGTAACACACTTTTGGACCTGTAGTAACACAAGATGGTGTTACAAAAGGTTTGTCCTCTTGTAGTGCACTATGAGGAACTTGAAAGACGAAAGAACCAAGATTTTTCCCTCAACTACGAGGGGAGGTAAGGAACTGCCATCTAGCTCTAGACTAGATTCTCCTTCTGTTTTGAGTAAGCTTGCGACACCTAAACCTGCTACTGCTATGAATTCTGATATGTCGCATGTTATTGATGATGCCACTTCTGTTATGCATGATACTTATGATGAAACTACTTCTGTGTGTGATACTACTTTGCCATTAGGTGAATTTCTTGATGAACAACTTGCTAGGGCTAGAGAGAACGAAATTATTGAAGATGCTATTATTGATGATAGTGATGATGAAAGTTCTCCTAATAATTATGAATTGCCTGTTGTTCCTGAGGGTTAAGTTATGAATGAGGAAGCTGCTAGAGCTATCTTTGCTTGTAAAGATAGATATGATCTTAAAAAGTTATTAGCTAAATGGAAGCAACAATCTCTTAATGCTACAATGAAACCCGACCATGCTTTTGCTACTTCACCTATCTGTGTTATTGATAAGGATTATGAATTCTCTGTTGATACTGAGATTATTACTTTAGTTGAATCTGATCCTTTTTATGGCCTTGAATCTGAAACTGTTGTGGCACATCTTACCAAGTTGAATGATATAGCCACCCTGTTTACTAATGATGAGAAGTCCCGCTATTATTATATCCTTAAGATATTTCCGTTCTCATTAAAGGGTGATGCTAAGACTTGGTTTAATTCTCTTGCTCCTGGTTGTGTGCATAGTCCCCAGGATTTGATTTATTACTTCTCTGCTAAATATTTCCCTGCTCATAAGAAACAAGCTGCCTTGCGGGAAATATATAATTTTGTGCAAATAAAAGAAGAGACTCTCCCACAAGCTTGGGGAAGGCTTCTCCGATTACTTAATGCTTTGCCTGATCATCCTCTTAAGAAAAATGAAATACTTGATATCTTTTATAATGGACTAACCGATACTTCCAAGGACTACTTGGATAGTTGTGCTGGTTGTGTTTTCAGGGAAAGAACAGTCGACGAAGCTGAATTACTATTGAATAATATGTTGACTAATGAAAATAATTGGACTCTTCCGGAGCCAATTCCTGAGGCAATTCCTGAACCAATTGAGCCAACTCCTGAGCCTATTCCTAAACCCACTCCGAAGAAGAGAGGTGTTTTATTTCTCAGTCCTGAAGATCTACAAGAGGCAAAGAAATCAATGAAAGAAAAAGGTATTAAAGCTGAAGATATTAAGAATTTACCACCTATTCAAGAAATGCATGGTCTTAATATACCGCCTGTTGAAGAAACACATTGTCTTGATAACCCAGCACAGGTAGTAAAGGTAAATTCTCTATAGATATGATAACGTTGAAATTCCATCTACTAAATTTCATAGCCCTTGCTTAGATGAATTTGATGACTTTATGGCTAGACAGGAAAGTTCTAATGCTTATGTTGGTAGAGAGCTAAAGAATAATGCTTTCGAGATAGGACGCTGGAGTGATTATATGGCTAGAGTTAAAGGTGAACTTAAACTCATTAGCAAATATGCTTCTATGGTTGCTACTCAAGCTGAGCAAGTACTTAAAGCTCAAAATGATTTGCTTGATGAATTAAATAATAAAAATGACTTTGCTATTAGAGTGGCGACTAGAACTGGTAGAATGACTCAGGAACCTCTATATCCTAAAGGCCACCCTAAGAGAATCGAGCAAGATTCTCAGAGAAACAATTTAGAGGCTCCTAGTCCTTCTAAAAAGGAGAAAAAGAAAAACGATAAGACTTTGCATGCTTCTAGTGAACGTACTATAGACACACCTGAGAATCCCAATGATATTTCTATCTCTGATGCTGAAACACAATCAGGTGATGAACATGAACCTAGTGATAATGTTAATGATAATGTTCATGTTGATGCTCAACCTAGCAAAAACAATGATGTAGAGATTGAACCTGTTGTTGATCTTGATAACCCACAATCAAAGAATCAACATTATGATAAGAGAGATTTTGTTGCTAGGAAGCACGATAGAGAAAGAGAACCATGGGTTTAGAAACCCATGCCCTTTCCTCCTAAACCATCCAAGACAAAGGATGATGAGGATTTTTAGCACTTTGCTGAAATGATTAGACCTATCTTATTACATATGCGCTTAACTGATATGCTTAAAGTAAATCCTTATGCTAAGTATATGAAGGATATCATTACAAACAAAAGAAAGATACCGGAAGCTGAAATTTACACCATGCTTGCTAATTACACTTTTAAAGGTGGAATACCAAAGAAACTTGGAGATCCCGAGGTACCAACCATACCATGCTCCATTAAAAGAATTATGTTAGAACTGCTTTATGTGATCTTGGAGCCAGTGTTAGTGTTATGCCTCTCTCTTTATATCGTAGACTTGAATTGAATAAGTTGACACCTACTGAAATATCTTTGCAAATGGCTGATAAATCAACTGCTATACCTGTCGGTATTTGTGAGGATGTGCCTGTTGTGGTTGCAAATGTCACTATCTTAACGGACTTTGTTATTCTTGATATTCCCGAGGACGATAGTATGTTGATTATCCTTGGTAGACCCTTTTTGAATACTGCAAGGGCTGTTACTGATTGCAACAAAGGCAATGCCACTTTTCATGTTAATGGTAATGAGCATACAGTACACTTTTCGAGGAAACAATCTCAAGTTCATAGCATCAATTCTATTGGAAAAGCTCCAACTATCACTATTGGAGGTTTTGAATTTCCTCTCCCCACTGTCAATAAAAAGTATGATATTCTTATTCTTGGGGATGTTCATATCCCCGTTGAGGTCACTTAGTGTTATTCGAAATTTCTCCGGTTCCGTGTTATTCGGAATGAGTTTGTTAACAAGACTTGATCAACCTTGTTAGTGGATTCATTTTGATGATCATGAGATGGATGAAACTAGAAGGCACAACCTTGTGTACCCTCTTTTTACTTTCTGTTATTTAGAATAAATAAATCAGAAATAGTATTATCCGTCTGTTTTCTGAATTATCCATGCAATAAAAAATATCCCAAAAATAAAAGTGCTCCAAATGCCCTGCAAGTTTAGTATGATTTTTTATGGAATATTTGAGGATTTTAGGCACTGAAATCACTGCAGGAGGGGCAAGCACCAGGCCACGATAGTGGAGGGCGCGCCCACCCTCCTGGGCGCGCCACCCTGTCTCATGGGCCCCTGGTGGCCCCCCTCCACTTATGCCAGCACCCACACACTCTATCTTCTTCCCAAAAAAATCCCCATCCAGCTCAAGCTCGAGTTCTAGCTCATTTTGCTGCGATTTTCGATCTCCTTGCTCAAAGCTCCAATCACAAAACTGCTTTGGGAGATTGTTGCTTGGTATGTGACTCCTCCATTGGTCCAATTAGTTTTTGTTCTAGTGCTTTATTCATTGAATTTTTTTTGTTGCATAGGCGACCATGTTCTTGAGCTTGCATGTTAAATTTATGAGGTCCCAAGTAATTCTAATGCATGATATAGGCTCTAGGCACTTGTTGGAGTAGTTGCTACCAATCTTGTTTAGTTCTATTCACTTTTATTTTGAAGTTACTAAAGTTTCAGAATTTTTTTAGAAAAAGAATTATGTCTAGGAGAATGTACCAAGGTGGTTCCTCGGTAAAGAAGGGACCCAGGATTGCTATACGTGAGGAAGACGTTGAATTACCGAGGGACACAGATGTACGTTCTTGTGAGTGGCCATCCGACAATTTTATGATCGAAGCAGGCTTCAAGGAGGAATTTGACGCGTATGTGCGTAATGCTGATCTGGAGGACTTCTTACAAGATAAGTGTCCTCAATACTATCAATTGACTGATTCATTTGTGCGAAGGTTTAAATATAACTGTACACGTAATTCTCCTAGTGTCCTATTTGATATCTATGATACATCTTATACCATGGACTTAGAGGATTTTACAGCTGCTTGTAAACTTCCACAGTGGGGCAATATTAATGATCCCCACAAATCTGAATTTAGAGATTTCCTTGCTAGTTCACTGTGGGAGAATCTAGGGACATTGCACAAGCTACCATAGGGAGCATTCATTTTCCCGCTATACATTATTTTGCTCTCTTT